AGCCATTGTGTCAATGTGAAGTCAAATACAGCTTTGAAATATAATATCCAAGTAAAAGGTCCAAGAAAAGTACTGCAAATTCACAAAAACTATTATTATAAATGTGACTTCTTATGTCTGATATTGGTTTATACAAATCTGCATATAAACACATATGTTGATCAGGAAAGTCGCTTTTAAGAGATGAGTTATGTATAGCCTCTTTGGTAATATAAGAAGAGGTCAGACTTTAGTTTCATCCAACGAGTGCCCTGAATAGCCTGTAATTTGTGCCAAATTGTAACATTTAATCATAAATAAATAATAAACTTTGTTTGGCTATTAATTAACATGATGTAAAAGAGTAAGAGCAGCAATTCAAATGGCATTTTGTTTCCCTAGCCAATTTATAATTTCAACAATTTCCTTGTTTAATTTTTTGAAATTAATTAAACACAGTATTCGCTATTAAATGAGCTGCCTCCATCTGTTTCAATAAAGCTTTTAGTATGGAAAGACATGCATTATGCTGTAATGAAAAACAGCTGATCGATCACTCATGCACCCAAAAATCAATTTGGGAAACTGCTCTAAAATGCCATCCTTAACTCTAACAGTGGTGAAGTCAATACACATACTGACCGAGTTGAGAATGGGTTCTCACATAAGGCTAAGGCAGCGTCTGCAATAATGACTCCATCATCAAATAAGCTTTTTTGACCCTATCATCCCCTAAAACAAATATTAGCATCATTAGTTGGGTATATATACCTCTGCCAATCACTATCACACTCGCCTCTATGGACCTGCACATGATCTCAGACCAAGATGAAGGTGCAGCCTTCAAGATGAAGAAAGGTCTGAGCTGTCCATTTTTCTACATATAAATTTGACAGTGATGTAGATTTCAGCTTGTGTGGTGCATGTTTGTGTATACATGTGTTAACGCAGCTGGCCTCTAGTTAATGCCCACTCTGTTGTCCCAGTTAGCTGGGCTATCAACCCACATGACATGGTGGGCCTGAGTTGATTCCCCAGTGTTGAGATGTTTTTACGCTTCATGCTTCAATGCATTCACACAAAAGGCTTGGCCTCATAACCCATAAGCCCGATAATCCAGTCTGTAAACATTCAAGGGATGCCCACTTTTACCATAAATGCCCATGCTTGGTTACACTGTGGAGACCACCACATGCTGGCTAGGTTACTGCGATAGAATTTATTTTATTAAACTGAATAAATTCTGTTGACAATTTATCATACCGTGAGTCAAGAGGAATGACGATCCATCAGATCAATTTAGACTATCGCTGACCAACTCAGCTAAAATCCCTTTGCCATTATTGTGCAGCTCATCTGTGTAAATGCCCTGCAGGAGGATATAGTCTTTGCCTTGCATACCAAAAGCAGCATTGCAGCTTCATGTTCACTGTAAATCATGCGACCATGTGAAAGACTGACTTTACTGACCCCCAGGACCTTTTTCCACCAACCCCCACCCGAACCGAAAGGAATAAAAAAAAAAAAAAAACACAAAAGGAGACCTGGTGCAATGCCACGGACACTGTCATGACATCCAGGAATAGCAACATGCACAGAGTAACACGCATAAACACCCTGATGTAATTAGAGACGCATGACTGCCCTGACAGCCATCATTTTGTCAGAAAGTAATGTCTCCTGATGAACATTTTGAATAACTTATCACACGCATATGATATGGCTAACGACGAGTAGTGAATCACTCGAGCCAGAATTACTTTGGCAGCATCATCTTTTAAGACGCTCAGAATTTGTATCAATTGCATCAAGTAAGAGGAGAAGAAAATATAAAGTCACTTACCCAGAAGATGAGATTGAAGATGAACATCATATACTTCAAGCAGCAGAGGCAGCCTCTTGCCATGTTGCACTTCTTAAATTCTAAAAGGAACACAAAGGATAGATCCAGGTAAAAGACTATGTATTTGCTGCCCTTGGGTGAGCTGTACTTGTTGTTAGTCTTGTCTCCCGCGCTGGCGTCAGCTGCAGCTCCAGTCTGCCCCTGCTGCGTGTTTTTGCGTGGCCCCGTGGAGCCGTAGAAAGCGCCGGCAGTGAAGCCGCGGCCACCGAAAGGGCGGCCAGACGTGGAGGCTTGAGCAAAATCGGATTCGCGGCTGTCTACAGAAGGGCTACGGTGAATGGCTGACTCCTCACTGCTGGACTTCTCCATACTCTAGGGCTGCAGCTGCTGATGAGGGGCTCTCTGACACACAGTCTACCATAGTCTCAGAGATGATAGGACAGAACAACTTGCCCTCCAAATCTTCACTGCTTCACCTTCTGAAGCAATAAAGGATAAAATCCACACAGCAACACTACATCCACCTGAAAGCCCACGGATGGATGAAAAGGTCTCCTGTGTAGACCTGAACTGCTCAGGCACCTCTGGCAGGTTTAAGTGTCCTCTGCTTGGTGAAGCTCTCTTGCTGTGATAATCCTAAAGTAGAAGTGCAGAAGGTTCCTGTGAGGAGCATTACCCTCGCCTTATGACAGGACTGTCTTTCTGTGAAGAAGTTAAAGCACTTGTTCTATCCTGTCCTGTAATATCACTCTCCTCCTGCGCGTCTTAATGCTGCGCCCGGCTGCTGCGGTGGGAGTGAAACCCCCGAGAGTCTCAGCTGCTCCACTTCCACGTTCTCTTGCTGACCTGGTAACTTTGATTCCCCCTGTCCCTCCTCTCCTCTTTCCACTGCCCCGCGCCTGTTCAGTCCTCTTGTCTATGTGTGCTGATGCGCTCTCTCTTCCTGGGTCTCTCACTCTCTGTTTCTTTCTGATTGTGCCAGTATCGCTCTTTCTCTTTCCGAGTGTGCCTGTCTACTCTAGTGTACCATTCTTTGCTCAGCAGCTCGGTCCCTCTGCTCTGCCTGTGCTCTGCTCTCCCAATAGGAGTGCACTGGCTGATGTGCTATTATCGGCAGACGCAACTAACGGGCATTCCCTATCTCCCAACAAGAGCACTCACCTCCTCCCCCAATTCTCTCTCCCTCCCTCTTGCTTCCTCCTGCTCTCTCTCTCTCTCTGCTCATTCAGTCCCTTCCCACTGCTGAGCAGGCAACCAATGCAGCAGCTGCAGCCAGACCGCAGCTCCTCCTCTCCACTCCCCGCGTCTTTATTAAGCCCATCACTGTGGCTGCTTTGACTAAACATGTTCAGCAGTTTCATATCCATCAGGGGAATTGAGAGGCCATAGAAAACAACAACAAAATAAACACACACACACACACACACACACGCAGAAATCAAACATGAAGATAATTGCAGATGAGTAAGGAGTTGTGGAGTAGCAGGGTTAAGGGATGTGAGGTGGAAATTTCTGGCAGTCTCTTTTGCATATGAAAAGCTTTGAGCGTCAGTATGCTGATGACACTGACACCTGTGATTTCACACATGCCAGAGAAGCTTCTCATTCTGCTTTAATCTGTAACTTTATTCATTGCCATAAATAAACTGTAGTTAAATCTGACTGTGGGTTATTCACATATTTTTTTTCTTTCTGAAAAACTAGCTTGAAATAGCAGCCAGTCCCCACTGGAGTGATTATTGCATATCACATGGGTGGTGGCGACGGTACTGGGGTCCAGTTTGATCATACTCTTACTCTGTTATTCGTCACTGCACTCCTCACATCCATGTAAGGGGACGCCAATTATCTGGCAACATCCAGGCTCTGGAATTATGGCACCATCTCAAGCATGGAAAGAGGCTTTAAGATGGTGAACACTTTCCAATGCAAAGCCAGGGTGAAACGCACAAGAGCCCTGCTGCCTCACACACTAAGCTAACAAGACATTATAAAGCTTCGATTAGAAAGCGTTCCACACAGCTAAAAGTTCAGGATTCTCTGCAGTAAATGGAGGGTAAGTGACAATTATAATAATACAAGATAATAAAAATATGCACAAGATAATTATCTGTCTGTTCATATGAATGTGAGAACGTTTGTCCTCTTCTGAACATAACAGCTAATGTAACCGTTTAATTTTTCTTATCAGCTGTAAGAATCAACTTTTTTTCTCTCTCCAAAATGAACGTGCAGCAGAGGGCACATTGTTTGGTAATTGTTGCCTCTCGGCAGAATAGTGATAATGGGTCACCCTGCAGACGTATGGAGGGAGAGTTTTAACTCAGTGGTCTAAAAGTTCAATCTAGAAATACCCAGTTCACAAAGACAAGATTACCCTCGCCTTCAGCTGTTTCACTGCTGGTGGAGAATTATCTGCCTCGAGGAAGCACGTTTATAAATACAGAGAATTCATGCAAATTATGGCTTCATGGCTTCGACAGCAATTATAATTATGATGGTTGAAAATTCTGGAAAAAAAACACTTAAATTTTGGTAACAACGGGATCACATTGGAAAGAGATCGAAAGTAAACGGCCACTTATAGTTTTATTACTAATCCTAATCCTATCATTACCAATGTAGCAGCACTGGGGTAATAAGGAATGACGTTTCTCCATAACAGCCTGTGCACATTGCTCAAGACTTATATTGGACCCGTCACAACTATTGGACCTGAAAAATGTTTATTCGTGGAAGTGGTTTCTCAGAGCTGCGGGTTCCTGCTGGTTCCTGCAGCAAACAACCTCAGAGTGGTCACTTTGGCTGCTAACAGGTTGCCATAATTGCCTGTAGCTTTTTACGTTTGTCTGCAAATATTCCCTAATAAGCTGTTAAATGGAGAAGGTTTCCTTAAAAGTAAAAGTTGAGCCTCAGTGCTGCACCCAACATAGCTGCACTTTTTACTTTGAAGGCAAACGTCTCCTCTAAGGTGAGTTAGGTTTTAGCAGTTTTTCCCAGCACCCACATCCACTAACCACTCTCAACTGGAATACTGTTCTCATGCAAGTGGTTGCCAAATAGACACAGTCTTAAAGCCTGGGGCCTTATTTAATTGACCTTACATTTTCACCACAATTGTCACACATGCAAAAAGATGGACAAGTTAAGGTCACATGGTTAGTGGTCCCGTGTCTCCCTGTGAGTGATCACAGGCAATTTATTAACCACCAAATACCCTTTAGCCATCTTCAAAATGTTACCAGAAATGACAAAACTGCATTAACAAATATGACTCTACCTAAAAGAAATAATAATTACCCCGTGTGTCAGGAAAATGTTTGATATTTTTTGGAAATGTGATCACAAGGCTTTTTTAAAATGAAGACAGAGTTTCATGTCTCGACATTGATTGTAAGGCTACACCTAAAACAATGGAAACTAAGACTTCTTTTCATCCTCAGTTTCCTCATTTGACTTCACCAGAAAGCAAGTAAGCACGCGAAAGACTTAAAGTAAAGCTTATGAAATGTGTACGTGTTTGTTATGAACAGAAAATGCAAAGAGTAAAACTTATCTGTCACATATCACAAATCTATCAGGGCTCTGTGGGGCTCTCACTGTATATCTTGCTGACACTTCCAAGTAGCCAAGTAGTAGGACATACCCAGGCCTACACAGATTCAGCCGAAGAACTTTTGCCCAGCAGCTGCTGTATTTTGTTAAGGGGTAGAGCAAGAGACAAAGCTCGAGACTCCAGAGAAATGGACATCTGTGGGATGACACAAAGGAGCTGAAGCTTGAAGAGAAGATGAAAAATATGCAGAGCAGCAGCCGAGTAGACCAGAGCAGAGAGGCTGCGTTTAGATGGAGACGCTGAGTGGGATGAGACTGCATTCAAACATTCTCTGTAGCGCTCAGTAAATCTGGCAGCTCCTTAAACATATGTATGTATGTTTCAAAGGCAGGACTGAAGAGATTAGAGATCACAGGGAACAATTATAGAACTCTCTGAGAGCTCAGCAGGCAATGCTTTACAAAACAAAATGAGACACAAATGCTATGAACAAATAATGACTCATTGTTGGTATCACGATTGTGTAAACCAATATCTCGAATACTGAAGTCCTTAAAATATTAGTAAAAGAAATACTAATGAATACCAAAAATTCTTTCATGGAATTAGATGCTCATTTTCAGCAGTTTCAATACTAACAGCACCGTCTTTGCCTCCTCCAGCCCCTCCACACTCACTAGCAGCTGAAGTAGTTGATGTTCACAACGGTGAAGAACACTTTAAGAGGAAGTTTGCGAAGCGAAAAAGCTCCTGCTTTCATACAATTGAATCTGGCTGGCTCACACATTCAGCTTTGCCATTAACATCAGACGTCTCTTAAGTCATCATTAAGGCAGCAGCTATCGGCTACGGATAATAATAAAATGATAACGTTAACGCTGGAGCTAGACAAGAAACGTCATTGTCCCTGTCAATCTATAATTTAAAAGCTAGGGCTAATTTAACAGGATGAGACAGTTATTTGTGTCTAAAAAGTGCTTCTCTTGTTTCTCTTAAAGTCCCAGAGTGAAACCTTGGCCGATTGTGACCCCAGCCCATTTTCACACCTTGTCTCCTGTGATTAGGCAGAGGATCAATAGGGAATCCATGACCCGATTGGGGACCCTGTTTAAGCCCCATAGGGCTTAAAATCTGGGACTCAGTTGCTCTTAGAACTAAAGAAGCTTCTCAGATTAGAGGTGAAACGTCTTCAAGGAAACTTAAAGAAGTCCAGACGCTTTTCTTTCCAGGCTCCTTAGACTATGACTGAGAACCTTCACAGACATGGTTATGTCAGTCTATTTTTCTGCGCTGCATAAGTCAGCTTAAAAATAAGTTCAGTCATTCAGTCATTGATGTTATTGTTTGTAGTATTCTAATTTTTTTGCTATGTTTTTTTGTTAATTTACATTTTTTCACCGTGGTTTTGAAAATGGTATTGAGTATTTTCCTGGTTACTGCTATTAAGTTTGACATTTAGTAGATAATAGGTGCATTTTTCCAAAAACATCTTTTACCATAGAAATAGTAGGTTGTACACTTATTGAAAAAAAGCCCTTAAACAAAGACCTGCACAATGCAAATTGCAAACACTTAAATTGCAGCCACTGACTCCATCTTAAAATGTTGTTGTTGAAGCTACTCAGCAGTGAATTTATGGTATTATTCTCAAATGTTTGTATATTAGTGTAATATCAGAGATAATGTATGCATATCTTCATGATCTTTGTTGTTTATGCCAGCTTAAGTGTGGTTTTATTCATTCTGTATTCTCTAAAATATAGACATTTGCCTCCCAGTGATGTCCTAGTAAAAGCAGAATATTAAAAGGGATATTCCCTTATGTGTTGCACTTTCATAAACAAATAACTACTGAAAATCAGTGAGTAATACATACCAACATTTTGCTACTATCATGAGTCTAACATGTAGCAGACTGGATCTGCTGGGTAATGATCTATCTATAACCTGCAACCTGAAGTTTGAGCCCTATAATGAGGGGAATCAGGGACATTTTGATGGTACACATTGGTTCCCCTGAGTGGACAGGGTGACTGGACATCAGCAGAAACTTGTTGTAAGTGATCATCTTTATCATATAAGGAAAACTGCCTACGCGTATGTGAATAGTCTCATTGAGGATAACGACAATCCTCAGAAAAAGAGGAAACCGTTAATGTTTTCACGAGTATATGAAACGTATGACGGCACCTTCACCGTCATTTGATCCCACAGCTTAACTCTTGTGTTCTAGACAGCACTCTCCATCATTACCAAATGAGGGAGATTTATTGTGCAAATGGCAGTCAATTCATCCAGCAGGCAGCAGTGCAGAATGCCGAAACCCTGTGAAACTATTCTGATGAACTATTTTGGCCTACCACTTTGGGCCAGATTTACTAAGTAGTATAAGTTAACATGAAGCTGCAATGGAAAAAATGACATGAATGGCTGGGGTGATCAGCTAACAATCCACTAATTTAGAGATACAGATGCAGCAAGATCTTTTAAACAAAGGTAAATACAATCTACCAAAAGCAGCATAAATTAGCAGAGCAAATATGACCAGACCTGGTGAGAAATCAATCTACTAACCAAAATAACACATCTGATGAC